GCCTCCCCTGCCTCCCCTGCCTCCCCTGCCTCCCCTGCCTCTGCCTCTGCCTCTGCCTCTGCCTCTGCCTCTGCCTCTGCCTCTGCCTCTGCCTCTGCCTCTGCCTCTGCCTCTGCCTCTGCCTCTGCCTCTGCCTCTGCCTCTGGGATTAAAGGCGTGGGCCACCACCGCCCGGCTAACCGAAACATTTCTTAAAGTGGCTCTGATGAGTGAAGACACAAAGGAAAGTGGAGGGAGCATGGGGGCAGGAATTTCATTTACATGCATCTCATCTCTTCAGTCAGGCCTTGAGCCTTCATTTTTCACACTCTTCATATGTGTCTACTGAAGCATGAGAGATCATATGTACTAAATCTGGACTCTTAAAAGTTCAAAGTTATACACAGGAGTTATAATTAACAAAATAAAATAGAGTAAAAACTCATTATTTAACTATTTCTTCTTTTCCATCTGCAAAATGAATCACCACTATTTTGAACATGTTCAACGTGCTAACTACCAGATTCTTGTCTTCCTTAACCCACATCCTGTGGATCTTGTCCAGTGACTTCAGAGGAAATTCTGTGGTTAAAAAAGATATGCGTATATAAAAAGGAGAGTGAGACTTTCGTTTCTAATTGATGTAAAGGAGACATCAGTGGGGCAGCACAGACAAAAGAAAAGAGAACCGACTGATAAATACAAAGGCAGGGGCAGCTGTACTGTTAAACACTACCAAATAAGCCGGGCGGTGGTGGCGCACGCCTTTAATCCCAGCACTTGGGAGGCAGAGGCAGGCAGATTTCTGAGTTCGAGGCCAGCCTGGTCTACAGAGTGAGTTCCAGGACAGCCAGGGCTATACAGAGAAACCCTGTCTCGAAAAACCAAAAAAACCCCCTCTCAAAAAAAAAAAAAAAAAAAAAAAAAAAAAAAAAAAAAAAACCAAAAAAAAAAAAAAAAAAAAAAAACCACTACCAAATAAGATGTCTAAACCTTCTTAAAGAGTAAAGACAGGTCTTTAATCTGGAGATAAATTTTCAAACATTCTTACGTATCTCTTTTCCAAAGCATCAAAACAACCTTGAATCCTGTCAAGAAATAATACTCAATGTCACTTTAGTCCATATGAACAGTCAAAATATAAATCTAAGTATGTAATTAGTTTGCACTTCTATTTTGAAGTATGTAAATTAACAGTTATTCTGCCTGTTCTGTTTAATCACCTTTTAAAATCTCAAACACTTTTCCATATACCTATAGAATATTATAAATAATAGACAAGTGGTTCTGAAGCACAGAAGTGTGTCCTCTCTCCCCACCCCCACCCCGCAATGTCAGCAAGCAGGCATACGGTGAATAATCGCAGTTAGGATTCTTTCTTTATGTAAGTCCATTTTCTTCTATGAAATCAATAGTTTAAAATAATACTGAATGATTGCTACAATTTTCAGGAAAGAGGACTAAGAAAAGTAGTTTAAGGAAATGATTTTAGAAAATAAAGTTTTCTAGGTAATTTCAGCCATGACTAACATGTTTGTTAAATTTTTACAAAATTTACTTACCATTTAATAATATGTAATGATCCAGGACACTTTTTGTCTTCCCGGAGAATTTTTAAACTGAGGTCTAAGAAAATAGAAACATCACTGTTATACTGAAAAATCCATGCTAAATAGGGCATTTTCTTTATTTTTTTATTTGTAAAATTTAGTTTTATGAACTCAAGAGATCCGCCTGCCTCTGACACCTGAGTGCTGGGATCAAAGGTGTGTGCCACCACTGCCTGGCACATTTTTAATGTTTAAATGCCCACTTCCCACATGCATCCTATGTTGACAGTTACCTCATTCTGAGTTTTGAAGCAGTTAGCAGACTCCCACTCTGGTTTCTTTTACTTATTTCCTTCTCTCTAAATAATCTAAGGCATCACTGAGACCATCTCAACTAACAGGTTAAACATATTCTCAATTTCATTCTTTATTTTTCCCTCTTAATGAAAAAAATATTAAACACAGATGCATAAATTATTCTCAAACATTTCCATGTGAGATCTCCCACTTTCCCATATGAGGAAAGAAAGGAAGACCTACGTCTACACTGAAATCAGTATAAATCACTGACTCCTGTATAATTTAACAGGAGCTTCTTAAATCGTTAAGTGTTTATAAATTTATGGATTTGCGTACGGGTATGCACAGTGCAAAAGTGTGTGCCACACTGCATTTGTACAAGTCAAAAGATGACTTCTCTCCTCATTACGTCCCAGATCATTAGGTTCAGCAGTAAGTATGTCTATACCTGCAGAGCCATCTTGCCAGCTCTCAAGAGTCCTCTACCTTTTCATATGCTAAAATTAACATCACTTCCACCATTGTTGAGGAATAGGAAAATATCTAAGTATTTTTGACAAAATACTTAGATATTATTAAAAAGACTGCCATACAAACATTGAGCATTTTGCAACATGTCACTTTAAATACAAACACATTAAGGAAGACTAGTGTCTACTATAAGAGACACACACACACATACACACATACACACACACACACACACACACACAAAATGGAACTCTGAGCAATGCTTTTGCCTCTGTGCCTAGGGCAGTGTGAGGCAATGCTTCTGGAGAGAAGCTGTACTTCACAAGGCTGACTGATTGATTAAAGCTTCGGTGGTTGTGAAAAGTTGGAATGCGGCAGGTCCAGAGCTAAACTACAAATTATGCTGGGCTATCTCTAGTGCCCTCATAGCCAGTTATTACCCAGCTCTGTTTATGCGCTAACATCCTTGTGGCTATTAGGTGAGTCCTTTTGGTAGCTTACACTAAATAAAAGCTGGAAATATCAGCAGACAGCACCAGAGATTGACAGCAGACATTTCCCCACTTGGCTATACCCCCAACTTTCTATCTTTCTTTGACCCTTTCTTTGACTTTCTTTGTTCTGCTACTGTAAGAACTTCATGAAACTTCTTCCATACTATAACACAGAATTTGGTGCTGGCAGCAACCAAAATCTGTGTCCCTGGCTCATGTCACTCACACTTGGCCCTTGAATAAACTATCTCTTTTCTCTCTTGAAATAAGAGCTGTGGGTTTGCTTTGTTTTGCATTTTTAATGTTAGCAGTAGCAACTGACATATAAAAGGTGTTTAATTTCCAAAGTATACCTTCTTTTATAACTCCATGTTCCAAACAGGAAGGGAAACAAATTATCTGCTACCTGTAAACACACTAAATCTTACATATTTAGCTCCTAAGTTAAAAGGAGTGATTAACAAGAAGGAGGGAGGGTGTCATGATTTACAAGTACCAAGCTCACGTGTGCAGAGCAACATGCACTCACTGATGCTCATTTGGAGACTCAGTATTGCCTAAGAAAATTAAGGTAGAATGCAGCCATGGTATATTATTAAATATAAACACAAGAGATTTCAAATTAGATTTGGAAAAAATAGCATCTTACAAGGAAATATGTGCACACTAAGAACAATAAAATGAAGAGGTAGGCTACTGTAAAAAGAACGTAACTGATTACAATAACTGTCTAACCATGCTAATCAACAAATGGATTTATGTCTCCTATGCATATTTATATATGTTAATAGGGAGATGTTTCTCACCTGATTCCTTTGAATTTCCTCAGGGTCAAAATGTACCTCAAAGAACAAAATTTAACTGAGGCAGAAAATAATGTAAATCTTCAGCATTAAGATAGATTTTTGTTCTCACTTTTACAAGAATGGCTTAGAATTAATAGATACAGCTCAACAAGTTTGTTTTTTCATTTGATAGCTAGCTTGAAGTTAATGGTTCCTATAAGTACAACCAATACACACAGCAAAATAAAATGGAAAGTGAATTAATAAATTGATCTTGAAGAACATGCCCATGAGTTAGAATTAAAGCACTCTGTGAAAAAGAGGAGTTTTGTCCTGCTAAGTAGAAAAAGGGACACTAGCCAAACCAATCATTTAATCCAACTTTACCATCCAAATGGCGATCTCTGTAAGAGCTCTCTGGAAATAGGCCCCTCAAATATGTTATACATGAGATAGAAGTAGCAAAAAGTTTCTTCACCATCACTAGTGACTCATGCTCATTTGTGATTTGAGATGGGAAAATTGTGTTCTGGAAAAAAAATCAAAGATGATAAAAATCAGTATTCATGAATATTCAGCCCATCAAACCATTACCACAGACAGGACAGAAACTTTTTAAGACTTCAAATCTGATACATTTCTAGATAATCAAAAGAAAATAGAGCTCTGAATACTGAGTTAAATAGATCTTCATATAAGCAAGGCAGAACAGAAAGGCAGGCAAATACTAGAGTAATTCTGGACGAAAAAAATTTATTTCAATGACTCATTGATCCAAAGCGAAATTCGGAGTTTTCCTATAATTCTATAACCTCTTCCTCTCTTCACACACTCTCTAGACTTCACTGTAGTCTCAAGTTTTACCCATGTCTTTTTTATACCTCTCTCTCCAGAGTTACAGTGTACAACTTTATATCAGAGTATGGATCCCCTTGTCTGGAGTGTTTGACACTGTATCCATATGTCCCCCTCAAGCTACCTTGGCACAGTCTGGTTTTCTTGCTGTTTTGGCAGAACTATGAATCAAACCTAGGACCTTGTAGCATGTTAAGCAAGAACCTTGGTTATTGAGCTAAACTGCTACCTGCTAACACTATTTCAGCTTTCATCCGTCCCTACACAGCTCAATCCCACCCCATCCACTCATCCCCTGACTCATTTTTATGAAACAAGGTCTCACTGTGTAGCCCTGGCTAGCCTAGAACTAACTTTATAGACCAGTATGACCTCCAACTCATAGAGACCTATCTGTCTCTGCCTCCTAGGAGTAAAGGGTGTGCCACCACACACAGCCCATTTCTCTTTTTTAACCAGCGTCCTCCCAGGAGTGTCTTCAGTCCTTTCCTCTCTTCACAGTTCTCTTGAATAGTCTTGTCTGTCCTCACAGCTTCAGTTATAGTCTATAGAGAAGACTTCAATTTCTAATTTATGTTCCCTGCCTAGATTTCTAGTATCTGGGCATCTGCTTCTATACTACTTTGTAGACCCTGAAATTCAGTTTGTCTCTGCTATCGTGCATAAAGCATGGTTCCCAGTTTCATCCCTAGACAAGTAAATCAGCATCTACTCCAGTTATCCGGCTAGAAGCAGCTTCATTCCTCTTTGGCTTTTTCCCCTCTATCAGTGTGATTTCTAACCACCAAATTGTCCCTTTTACTAAACCATTTTTTTAAAGCAAGAAAAGTTCTCTGTGTGCTATGTGTATGCTCCTGTGCGTGCAGGTACATATATGTACAGGTATGCAACCATGTGTGTATACTTGCATATGGATACCAAAGGTCAACCTCAGGTGCTCTCTTTTTTAAAAGATAGGATCTTTCACTCCCCTGGGAGCCAATCAGTTAGGTTAGCAAGCACCAGGGATCACCTGTCTCTACCTCATCCATGCTGGTATTACAAGTGTGTACAAGGCCTGGGATCAAACACAGGTCCTCATGCTTGGAGAATGCAACGTTAAAGGAACTAGTCACTTGACAGTGCTTTGAGAGCAGAATGGTGAGAAAGAAGCAGCATGATGGAGAGGTGCGGGCATCGACTCTACATTCAATAACCAGGTTCAAATCTCTATTCTGTCACAAGCACAATTTATGATTTGGACAGAGGTCAGCGACCTCTTCTAGTAGATGCCTAGACAGTGAAATTCTTAGGATTTGCAGTTAATTCTGTCATTGCAACAAGAAAGAAAATACAGACATATTATAAGTAAAGCTGTTACAATAAAACTCTATTGCTAATAAATTGCTGTAATTGCCTGATACTGCATAAATCCATCTCTCTTGTACCTCACTCAATCCCTTCATCTGTAAATAGGGGTAAGAGTAAGACCTACTCGATTGAAGATTAAATAAACTAAAGTCTATAAAATGCTTCACATGGTCCCTAGTTCAATCATTTGTTGTGTTTTGGTGTATGTGTGTTTTCACTTGTTATGTGAACATGTATTAATTACTCTGTTAATTTGTAAAACATCAATTACAAAGCAAGTTCTAGGAGAGCCAGGGCTATATATTCTGTCTGGAAAAAGAAAGGAAGGAAGGAAGGAAGGAAGGAAGGAAGGAAGGAAGGAAGGAGAAGAGAAGAGAAGAGAAGAGAAGAGAAGAGAAGAGAAGAGAAGAGAAGAGAAGAGAAGAGAAGAGAAGAGGACGAGACAAGAAGAGAAAGTGAACTAAAGAGAGCATGCGTACTCTAATGGAGTTTACAACCCAGGTGCAGACAGGGAAAGACTAGGGGCAGAGACAGGGTATAAATGAGTGGAGAGAGCCTAGAGGCTGCACATGAGAGACAGGAGCACTCACTCAGCAGAGTAGGAAGGCTGTGGGAAAAGTGAGACTAAAGGAGCCCTAAGGATAAGCAGCAAACAAGAGGGATGTGAGTAGGGCAGCCAAGAGGGTGGGATGCTGTGACATCAGAGGCATGCCCGTCAGATCAGTGTAACTGCTCCTCAGACTTCATACTGGGTAGAGTGAGAGGAAATTAAATAGAAGCCAATGCTAGGATGCCATATTAAAGAAACTGTATTTAATCTTTAAAGTAACAGAAAATGCATGAAAGTTAAATAATGACTTTCCTCTTTTATCCAATACTTGAGCTATCTGTCTGTCTGTCTGTTTGTTTGTTTTAAATCTGGCTCTGGGACCAGCAGAAATATTTTAGAGGACTGTTGAGCCCTGCCAAGATTATGAGTGGCAATGTGCTAATTCTAAAGCTGGCAAAATTCTTTTTTTTTTTAAAGTCTTCACATTTTTATTCTTTGTGCACCAAGACTAGCATGATCGGTTTCACTGGGCAGACAGTCCAATAATCCATTCAAGGCTGCTTAGTTCAACTTAATGAAGCCTGTGTCCCTCACGTACTGACAGAAGCACTAACGGCACATGTTCAGCCCATATTTATGGATCAGACAGTGGTGGTTAGAGCAGACATAGCAAGAGTGAGAACCCTGGCCGAACGTTCGTAGGTGACTCCAGTAGAGCTGCTGGTGACCCATCTTGCCTCCAAACACCCAACAAGGAAAAAGGAACGAGCTGGTGTATGCAGGCGCTCTTCCAAGTTTCTCAGAAAAATTCTTTTTAAGACCAAGCTATTCTTAGAACTTTTGTTGTCACCAAATCTCCAAATGATAGAGTGTATTTAGTTAAGTCAGGCAAACTGTAACACTTGGTGACAGAGTAAGCTTTCCCTGTCTTACTGGAATGAGACTACACTGATGGATTCAGAGCCTTAGTAATAAAAAAGCTAGAGTTTCTCTCCAGGCAAGCCTGATGGTCTTAGTTCTATCCCCAGGATCCACCAAGTGGCAACTGATCTCTGCAAGTACACCAGGGTGCACTGCTCACCCCCATACTCAGTCTCTTAGTTAGGGTTTCTGCTGCTGCAACGAAACACCACGACCAAATGCACCATGGAGAGGAAAGGGCTTATTTGGCTTACACTTTCCACAGCACTGTTTATCATTGAAGAAAGTCAGGACAGGAACTCAAGTAGGGCAAGAGGAAGACAGGAGCTGATACAGAGGCAATGGAGAGACGCTACTTACTGGTTTGCCCCCCATGGCTTGCTCAGACTGCTTTCTTATAGAATCCAGGACCACCAGCCCAGGGATGGCATCACCCACAATAGGCCAGGCTCTTTGCCATTGATCACTAATTAAGAAAATGCCCTGTAGGCCTGCTTATGGCCCAATCTTATAGAGCCATTTTCTTAATTGAAGATCTCTATTCTCTGCTGACTCCAGCTTGTGTCAAGTTGATATAAAACTAGCCAGCATACCACACACACACATAAATAAACATGTATATATACATAAAATATATTAATAAATAAATGTATGTGATAAAACTTTTTTAAAGTTTCTGTTTTCTATTTTTGATAGTTTAAATGAGAATCTCTCCCATGGACTCATATGTTTGAATGCATTGTCCCCAATTGGTCGAATTGTTTGGGAAAGATTAACACTATGGCCTTGTTGGAGGAGGTGTACCACTGAGGGTGGGCTGTGTGGTTTCAAAAGCCATTCTATGGTCATTCCCAGATAAAGTACACACATATTTCTTGTCTCTCTGTCTCTCTCTCTGTCTCTGTCTCTCTGTGTGTGTCTCTCTGTCTCTCTGTGTGTGTCTCT